CCACTGGCTCAGGTGTGAAGGGTGTGTGCCCACGGCGAGACCGTTGGTTTTCCTCTCTTTGCCAAAAGGACAGACCACACGCACCATCAGTTTACAGGAACACTGCATCAGAAGATTTCTGTGCCCCAATCAACCCAACCCGCTTCGACTTTTACAAAAAGCTGTAATAAAACCTACTGTTTCCTCTAGCATCGTAATTCTTCACCAGTTTTCCCCTTATTTCCTCAGGCTTACCACCAGGAAGTTGAAAGACGTCAATATTCAACTACTGGACCAAGAAAACTTTCGTAACCCAAGCTCATTTCTCTTTTTAAGAGATTCAAAAAGATAAAAAAAATTAAAAATCCAACCAGTCTTATGAGATACAACACAAAGCAGTAGGTACCAGTGGGTACGTGATGCGTGGCAGCTGCACCAGCGGTAACCGGAGATTTGAAGGAAGCTGCAAAGGGACACGGACCGTGCTCCGCTCCTCCCAGCACCGAATCCCTACGTCCCACGTAGGGGGATAATACAGCTACTTTGTTTAAAAGGGTCTCACGTCCTGGTGAAATTTGCCTTTTAACATACAACCCACACAAAGCTTTGTTTAGTAACGCACACAGACGTCACTAAATATTGCAAAGTGCCCAATATATGTCCTAGGAGGTAGAAATTCTGCAGACTCTGTTTCAGGGCCCTCATTTTAAGGGCTGAAAACTGCCGACAGGATGTTCCAAATATCCCAAATGTCATTTGTAAACCCACTGAGGTGGTTTGCATTTAGCCGATGGCAGGGGCGGGCACAAAACTTCATCCGAAGCCGCAATTTAGCCGTCCCGCTGCGCTACAGCAACTGCAGAAACCAGCAATTCGGCCAAGTCTGACGGGATCTAAAGCAACAAGACTCAAAAGTCATGTTAATCTGGACGACACCTGTACCAAGGCCAGGACTTAACCTTGCTTACGGCAGGAGCTCAGCTGAACCAGCGCTGAAAACCATTTCACTGCTGGTATGGGAAAGCCAAACTGGTGTTCAGGCACCTGCAAGTTTAACATGATTTGCTTCTCTTTTCTAATTATTGGACTTCTTTCCCCCCTCCTTGCAGGCGCTCCCGGCACTGTGCCGCCACTCAGCAGGGGGAAGTCAAAACTGGTCCTGCCAGTTCCCAGTTTGTCACTGCTTTCCTCCCCAGCCCCCAGCCCAGTTCTTTTCTTGAGTTCCCAGTACCTAGTTCTGGAGTTCCCAGTACCTAGTTCTGGAGTTCCCACTACCTAGTTCTGGAGTTCCCACTACCTAGTTCTGGAGGTCCTACTACCTAGCTCTGGAGTTCCTACTACCTAGTTCTGGAGTTCCTCCTACCTAGCTCTGGAGTTCCTCCTACCTAGTTCTTTCTCGAGTTCCTCCTAGCCCTGTGCACAGCAGCTTGCTGTCAGTAGTACCTGCGCTCCGCACGCTCCTTCTTTTTTAAGACGACATCCAGATCTTGTAGTTGCTCTTCCAGCTTCTCGCAGAGTAATTTCTAAGAGAGGGGAACACAACGTTAGGCTCTTTCGTAACCATTTTCACACCGGCTTTCACTCTTTCTGTGTTTGTCTGGGAGCAGGGTGAGTGTCTTGCTACACCAGAGGCTCCTCTTTGATGACGAAGGCTTTACAACAACCCTAAAGCACGACCTGAAGCTCCCCATCATCTTCACAATGTAACAAACCTGACATCTCTTGTATTAAAAATTAGTGAAGAGCAACAGACCCAGGAGACACTTTTAACCCCAAGGTGCAACTGCAAACTCTCACAAAAGTACACTCTTGGAAGAGAAGTGAAAAGGGATGCTCGGCACAGCCGCGTCGCGCCGTGCCAGCACGGTTTGCTTTTGGCAGGGGAAGAGCGCTGTTGGCACAAAGAATTTTTCTAAAAGAGTTTTTCTAAAAACTTTCTAAAAGGAAGGTGCTTGAGATCAGGCACCCCATATATTTCAGGAGAAGGGCATCACACCCTCCTGGGCTCACCCTCCCAAGTACCATCCCTGCAAAACTTCATATTTTAGACACACGATAAATTAACCTGGACACGTGCACCATATTTTTTTGTTTGGTGTTTTTTATTTTTTTGGCAGAAGCAGCTTCTAGCCTTCAAAAAAAGCTTTTTTGCTTGTCTGTCACCAGACAAGGACGGCACCGCCTTTCCCTTTTTTTGTTAGAAAAAGCAGCTTTTTCCAACCAGTGCCCCAGCAAACATCTTGGAAGAAGGAGCAGCTGCTTGCTCTGCCCAGCGCTCGCTCCCTCACTGCCTACTGCTGCCCCTGCCAGGACGCCAGCGAGGAGGTCTCTTTTGAGCAAAATTAAGACATTTTTTAATAGTATGTTAGTATTGAGGTAATTTAACCAAATACGGGAGAAAAAGCAGCGTGGTTGGAGATTTCCGTCCTTCACAACGGCAACACAGTCATTGGTCACGAGCAGAAAAAAACGGGGAAAGAAAACCACCTCCCCAACCTCAGTTTTACTCGCAGGCAAGACCGGCATCCCTACCCTTCGTCATGGCATTTTTTAACCGAAAAACGATAAAAGAACTCGTTAAACTCCCACAGGCGCAAGCAAAGGCAAAAACCAAGCGAGCAGTGAGGTGGAAGAGGAAGCGTACGTGCTGGCAGGGCGGGCAGAACCACTCTCCGTCGGGGATGATCATGAGCGGAGGGCGAAGGCAGGCGGTGTGGTACCCGCTGTCGCAAGAGTCGCACAGCAAAATCTGGGGAAACAAAGGGAATCGTCAGGATCTTCCTGCACCCGCAGCGCAGAACAGGGACGGCGCAGAAGCGCTTTAGAAATATTTTGGGCTGCGCCAAAACAAAAAAAAAATGCCGTATCCCTCAGCACTGGGGCCAAAGGCGGTTTGTACGGGGAAGGTCCTACAGGACAGATTTCCATTTTGACACCAGATTTCCATTTTGACACCAGATCTCCTCCTATTCTGTGTTCTCAGGCACTCAGCACCACTGGACTACGAAGACTTTGGGCCCATCCTGTGCAATCTGGTGATTCTTGCCAGATCCCAGATCAAGGGCAAAATGCCACCTGGATAAGACGTGGTGAAAAACATTTTTCCTGTGTGCCCATGTCCACATGAAGGAAATCCGGCCACTGCCTCTGTCGGGGTGATTTTATGTCCCGGGCAGGAGAGACAAAGCCTTGCAGACTCCTACAACCAGGCAACTAATAGAGTTAGAATCTTAGAATCCTTCAGGTTGGAAAAGCCCCCTGGGATCATCGAGTCCAACCACTGACCCTGCTCTACAGAGCTCACCCCTAAACCATCTCCCCCAACCCCACATCTCAGTGACCTTGAAACCCCTCCAGGGGTGGGGACTCGACC